AATGTATCTTAGATACATACAAATCACTGATTCCTGCCAAGCCTACACATTTCTGAAAGCTCTTTTTCCCAGAGCATGCTTTGCATTTCTCATATCCCTCTGAAAATCAATCAGTCGCAATTGTTCCCTGTTCCCATGGAGCAGATGCTGGCCAAACCTATTCTGAATGTGAGTAACTGGGAGTGGGGGTGCAGAGAATCCCTAGGCATCTGTTTGCAGGAGTGATCTGAATCAGGGAAAAGATCCTGCAGGAAGTTTTGAGTTCAGGTATCTGAAGCTCACGCCGAAAGTCCAGTTCCTAGCCTGGCCTACATGACTAGGTTTGATCCCTATGGAGAAAGGGGTGTTCTCTTCATTTGTGCATGGATTGTAACCAGGCTCCTGCTCTATAAGGAGGACTGAAGAAAATGTAAGGCTGTTTGAAGACCCCCAGAGCTCTGGAGTTTGGGGAGCACTAGGAGACAGCACCTGAGGCAAAGCAGCCTTCTTCCAGAGAAGCAGCTGCAAAGCCTGAGAAAACTAAAATGTAGACTGAAAGTTGTTGTCACACACACGCCACAAAGGCTCAGCAGGAGCCTGCTGTGCTAGAGAACAAATGTGAAAATTCTGGGGGCTCCCAGAAAGACTGTGGAAGTGGGGGTTTGCAGAGAACTGAGGTGTGCCAGACCAATGCAGCCACATTGCCAGTGTGTCCTAATTCCCACAGGCTGGAGAGGCCTCAGAGATCAGCATTTCCCTAACACTGGCTAATTTTTTCCCTTCTCTCTTCATTTTGTAATTAAAACAAACAAAGCCTTCCTCTCTCCAGACTATTCTCAACAAGACAATTTATAATTTTGAAGTGTTCACTCTTCTTCCCAAACCCACCTCTGCTCCACACCTCAGCTGCCTGACTTCACTCTAAAAATGGACAGCTGTTTACTCAGTTCCACCAGCTCAGCAGCACTCAGCTGGCTTCATTCAATCTCTTTCTCCACATGTGGCCTCTCCCCAGTTTAAGCCTCACTCACAATTCCATTTTATTTTTCACAACTCCTCCCGCTCCCCCAAGTATTTAGCAACACCTTAAAATACAGTATGGACTTTTAGGTCAAACGTCACTTCATATATTCATATGATGCTAGCTACAATGTCTACTTCAAGACCTGTTCTCTTAGTCTCAGAGTACTGATAGTGATGCTATCAGATAGAAATACCCAAGGCACTCACCTGGGCCCTCACTACTCATGGAGAACGCCCAGTGACATTTCCCTGACCAGAGCCAACGTTGTGGCTTGACCAGCCATTGTGGTTCTTATAACCACATCTTGCAATGTGCAAGATGCACCTCAACAAAACACCATCAAGGAACTCTGAAAAACAAGATTTACTACTCACAGGTCCCAGAAGGTACACAGCAGGCCCAGGGGCCACACAGTGAGATTGCCGGCAGAGAGAGAGAGAAGGGGTTATCTACAGTTTCTTGGGCTCACACTTTATGGGCGAATTTAAAACATAAGAGCAGAAATTAGGGTTGGGAAGGGAAAAGTGGGGTCACTCAAGCAGTCAGTTATCTAGGTCACTCAGGGCTTTCTAAAGGGGAACTTCATAGGCGGGTCGGCCTGGTTTCTAATCTGGCTGTTTTGGTAGTAGCTATGTCATACAGCTGGCATTATGTTTATTCGAGACGGACATCTTTGAAATGGATGCATCGGCAGGCAAAAGCCTAATGTGAGGTACTTGCACTACAAGACCCTCATTTTACAGAGGAGAAAACAAGGTCCAAGAGTACTACAGTGGAGTACACACAGCCAGAACTGGAGCTGAGAACCATCCCTAGACCTGGTGATTGTGCCAACTGTATTCTTTACGCAATTTCATGGCAGTCATAAGGCAGAGCTCTTCCTGAAGGAGGCCAAGGGGGCCAGATTTTGGAGCTAGACTGCTGGAGTCAGAATCGCAACTCTCAAATTTATAAACTGGGTGACCATGAACAAGACTCTTAACCTCCCCAAGCCGCAGTACTCTCATCTGTTAAAACAGGAATAACAATGGTATGTATATCATAGGCACACTGTGAAGTTTAAGTAAGATAAGGCAGTGTGTTAAAGTAGTTGAACAAGGAGGCCACTGGACTGGGGTGGCTCTAACACCTTGGTATCTGAGGTAAGCAAACCAAAACCTAAGCCAGAGTCAACACATTCAAATCTGAGAAAACAAAACTTAAGAACAACTAACCACAAACAGCCAACTAGGCTTTCCCAAATAAGGCAACCATTCAAACTATAACCAATCAAATAACTTCCTTGCTTTGTTTCCAAGTTTTCTCTATAAAAACCTATTCCTAGCTCCTGTCGGCGGAGTGCTGCTAACCACATTCAGTTTGGCACTGCCCGATTCGAATCAATATTTGCTTAAAACAAACTCTTCAAAATTTTAATGTACCTTAGTTTAGCTTTAAACACATGAAAGGCACATAATAAACTGCCTGCCTGGACATAGTAACTGAAGAAAAAAGCAAAATAATTTTTAAACTATTATTTAGAATTTTATTAAAGAACCATATTTAAGTAATAATGAAAACTATATGAAAACAGAAATCTACTACATATGTATATATGTGTGCATGTATGGGTACACATATATACATATACATTATACTTGAATAAATATACCTATATACATATTGCTCTTCTAAAATAAACTTAATTACTTAGTTTTCCCAGTGTTACACAGATTTATTTCCATTTTTCTTACTAGAACAGCTTGATGTTTACACAAGGAAGCATCTGTTTTCTCCTGTGTATAAGTAAAATGACATTCCTCATAGCAACTTGGACAAGATTATTTCATCAAGGCTTGCAGCCAACAGTCCTTATAATGATCCTCAACAATGGTTTTAACAAGATTATATCAGGCATGGTGGCCTCAGCACATTTCTTCCTAATGTCTTTTGTATTCTGGGAACCAATTCAAGGGAAATTAACAACATAATCGACATAGATAAATATTTAAGACGACAAAAAGTAAGTCATATTGGATGCCAAACCACGACTAGTTACCTCTTCATTGTTGAAGGATGCAGAGATTTGAAGACCAAAGGATAAAAATTAAAAAGATATGAATTCTGAATTTCCAAATCCAGGTTATGGGGACAGAGAAAAGCAAGGTTGGTTTACTGATCTGTGATATTATCAGAGGAATTAAGAAGTGCCAAGGAATTCTGCCTGTCTCACAACATGACTTGCTCATCTAGTCTTGCCCATGTTCATATTGAATACATATGTATCCGTATTCATTGAACAAATATGAATATACATTTGGACCCTCATCCAAGAAAATAATCAAATCCAAGACAATTTCCAGAGACTGTTGACTAAACCTTAAATGAAAGGAAAAGATACATCACTTCCTTCACAATCAATCCATCATGGCAGCAAGTTACAATAGGGCCCCATCTCATCAGAACTGACTCATTTCTTTTAAATCCATAATCTTGAGGTTGAAGACATATTCAGGTGATTTCCTCTTTCTATAGCACACAGAATGTTTAATATTGTCAGATCTCTCTCTGCTCACAGACAGGTACAGCACAAAAGAATAATACTAACATTAGAAACTAAAGTGCTTTATTACTTAAGAATAAAACTAATACCTTCAATGATAAACTGACCAATACAAAATGTAAAGGCTTTAGAAAAGCCTGGGCATATTTTTTTTCTTTTAATTCAAGGGACTTTAAAGTCACAATGTAAGGAAGTTAGCTGTGGGGCTCAAGATTAAGTTATTGAGTTTATAATTGATTTTCAGGCTCCAAAATGATCATAAAAGATCTTGGCAGCTTTAACACATACTTGTAATTTCTTTGGCAAACAAGGGTGTTGGTGGCACTTAGCCAATTTCTTTATAAAACAATCAGTCTCTGTTTCTGAAAGTTTGGCTCATGAGCTATCATTCACTAGATATTCACAACACAAGCCTGAATTTTAACTTTTCCAAAATACCAATATAAATTTTCCTGGAATAAATGAGAGTTCCTAGCATTCAGTAGCTGCATTCCAGGTACTTGAATGCCCCAGTAAGTCATGATAGTTACATGACAGGACGATCTGTACTTATCAGTTAATTTAAGATTACATCGTTTGGGGCCGGCCCCGTGGCTTAGCGGTTAAGTGCGTGCGCTTCGCTGCCGGCGGCCCGGGTTCGGATCCTGGGTGCGCACCGAGGCACCGCTCCTCCGGCCATGCTGAGGCCGCGTCCCACATACAGCAACTAGAAGGATGTGCAGCTATGACAGACCACTATGTACTGGGGCTTTGGGGGAAAAATAAATAAATAAAATCTTTAAGATTACATCGTTTGCTTGAATTTGTTCGGGTTTTTTTCCACTTCCTCATCCACTTTCCCAGACCTGACTCTTCTATGTCTTCTAGCTGCACCTGTACTTCTTTACACATCTCTTCATAAATATTGTTTTAACTACTATCCACATCAAATAGAAAACTGATGCCAGGTATAACCTGAAAGATAAACTCACCTCAGCCGGTGGATCAAAAAGTCATTCTGGTGTCTTGCTAAATATTCTCTTTTTTTTTTTCATTAACTTCCTTCTTTAGCTACTTATATTAAAAAAAAGAAAAGTGAGTCATTGACTCAGCCTTTTTCCATCATTACTTGCCTTTTTCAATATTTACACCTTCTAAAGTGCATTCGTGGCCAAAATTTTTCTTTGAGGACAGAGAAGGTGGAGGACTGACTTTTCATCAGTCCTGGTCACTCTGCTGCATGTGTATGGAAGACTAGGACCAAAAAGGCCAATAACAGAGAAGGACGTTTGGAGAAGCCATTTCTAGAGACACCAAGAGGTGGTTGGCGCGGGTCGCACCACGTGGCCCGCCGGCCCTAATGAGTCTGCGCACACGCCCTCCCTCGCGCCCCCTCCCTCGGTAGCTGGAGTACGGCGCATGCGCATGAGGACCACGCCGCTGCCGTTGGAGACCCGCTCGGCCTGAGGAGCCTGAAGAACCTGAGGAGCCTGAGGAGCCTGAGGGCCGGCCGGGTCCTGGGCGCCTTGCTACCTCAGTGATGATCACAGGGCAGAGTCTGGGGACCTGGCCCTGAGGGCACCGCCAGCCGAGATCTGCCTCTTCAGCCTGGGCTGGGCACTGGCAGGAGGACCCGGACAGGGTGCTGGACGAGCACTCCGGGGCAGGGTGACCGGCCCACGCGGGGACCCCCTTTGCCTGGGCTTGGCCGTGAGAGGACAGAACTCAATCCTTGGGACCCTGAACAAGTACGATGCAGGGTAATGATGTCTCTCAAGGGTTAAAAGCCGTCAGGGGGCATGGAGACAGAATTCGGTGTCCCCCACCCTCCTCCTCCCGTCCCCTCCTTCCCTCTGCGGAGGCTGGGCCTCACCCACCCGCCTTTATTACAGGCTTTATTTCCTCAAGTATGAGCCTCTCGGTGGTCACCGTCTACAGACATGAACTCCTTGACTTATGGGAGTTGACGCTGACTTGGGAGCCAGTCCTGAAAATCAAAAGTTAGACTACGCCATGAGAGGCAGTGTGCACAGAGTGTTAGGGAGAGGGGTGTCTAACAGGCTCAGGAGGCAGAGGAGCTCCCCCGAGAAGGCTGCTGTGGGAGCTGTTGGGGCTGAAAGCGAGGGAGTGGCCGGGATGAGGCTGCGAAGGTGGCAGGGAGCATCACTACAGGATGCAGTTCACGAAGGGCTTTATATGCCCTGCCCGAGAATTTGAACTTTATTCTGAAGGCAGGAGCCGCATCCCTGCTCAAGATGCTCAAGGCGGAGAAGTGGTTTCTAGACATGAAGCTCTCTGTGCGGCTGTTCCTGAATTTCTATGTCGGGCGAGTTTAGGGGATGCGGATAGGGTGGGCAATAAGGGCTAGGGGTATGTCCTGCAGTTGCTTTTTGGAGTAAGTGATGGGATCACCAGAAAATCAACTCAATGACTGATTTTATTTTTTTATTTCATCTTTTTTTTTTTTTTTAACAAACATGGATACTTAACTGGGTTGTAGAGTAACCGAATGTAGAATGTTTTTTAAAAAATTATAACCAGCATTTATTCCAGGAATATATTGTAGTATTTCTTAGTTTCTTCCTTCCATCACTTTAAGCTGAGGATTTTAAATACACACATACACCCTTTTTTTTCCTTAGTATTTTAATGAATACTTCATTTGGGGTGGCTTTGGTGGAAATTATAGTAATGCTAAATATTCTACTCCCCAAGTCACTCATGATGCTTTCACTATCAACTACAAATGTGAAAAGAACTTTTCTACGTACACAAAAGGGCTTATTACTTTTACTCTTTTCCTTTTATCTAAAAAGTGACAAATAATAACAATCTAGGTATGACTTTTCCTCATTACTCTCTATATATGAATTCTGTAATTCTATGACTTTTATTCAAGTATGACAGAGTGATTAATGTTGGTTACCTGTAGGCCTATACCCTTTCTTTGGTATTTCTCAAAGGTGGTGTTTGAATATATAAAGCTTACTGTTTATACTTAAGTTATTAACATATTGTTTTCTCTATTTGCTATCATTAGCTCTTGTATTCTTATCTACCTTGTTCTGTCTCTGTACAGACTTTATAGAATTAAGAGACATTCAGAAAATCAATTTTAGAAACCGAAGTCTCATTGAAATAATCAAGTCATGAGATTTTAAGGGTACAGGGAATGAGAGGTTATTTAGTCAAACTCCCTCCTTTCTGAAAGAATCAAAGCTCAAGTTTTAAGATTCTCCATTAGGGCCGGCCCTGTGGCTTGGTGGTTAAGTGCGCGCGCTGCAATGCTGGTGGCCCGGGTTCGGATCCCGGGTGCACATCGAGGCACTACTTCTCCGTTCATCCTGAGGCCGAGTCCCGCATACAGCAACTAGAAGGATGTGCAGCTACGACATACAAATATCCACTGGGGCTTTGGGGGGAAAAAATAAAATAAATAAAATCTTTAAAAAAAAAAAGAAAAAGATTCTCCATTAGATGATCACCCCGCTAAATGACATGACTCATGTTATTGACCTAAGTATGAGATGTTAGAAGCTGTAGAACAATGTAATTTCAGATCCACAAGGGGATACAATTATTAGCCAGGGTTTCATTTTAATATAAATAAGAAGATGATCTAAACACCAGGGAGAAATGCAGTGATTACAGGAAAAAAACAAAAAAGAATAGGAGAAGCCTTTAGGATTCTGGAAGCAACTTTGGTAAGTTGTCTGATGGAAGAAAAAGTTCTTTCACATAGAAAGAAGAATTAGTTTTCAGATATGAGTCAGAAAAAAATCACAAGCCAATGATGAATTTAAGTAAAAGAATTTCGTTTTGAAAATGCAGACACGGCATTATGAATTGCATTGAATTGATTATGAATTGCAAATGAACTGTTAAAAGCTTTACTGAAGATTCCTAACACTGTTCCTTAGGTGTTCTTTATATTTTATCAACCAGAGACACTTCACTACTCAGAAAAGATATCTGTAATACACTCGTATTTTTTTAGCCATGGAGAGAGGCTTTTCAGTTACGGAGGCTGTTATTCAGAACAAGTGGATACAAGTTGATGCCTTTTAAGAATTAAGGATGGAAAGAAGAAAGTGATTGCTTCTGAGTTTGGGGAGGTGGTTGCGAAACAATAAGAATCAAACTTAAGTATTTTCTTTTGAGCAAAGCGTGTATATGTGTTTTGTATTGTTTTGTAGAAGCTTACTTATAAAGATATCACCAAAGATTAGAGACATAATCATTTAGAGGAAATGCTGGGAGTATGGCTGGATGTGCGTGTGCAAAAATCTCTACAGCAGATGGTCTTGTTTTAGGGGTAAGTAACACTTCACTTTGACTAAATTCAGGATCATGCATTATTTCAATTTAATAAGGAATAATCTTGGATCTGGAGAGGGAAAGATTTGGTTACGTCAAAAGGGTAAAAATTGTTTTTTTTTAAATGTTGGTTGTCTTCTACAAATTTTGACTGATCTCATGTCCGTTCATAAACAAATATGTGCTTAGATATAAGCATACTGTCTAAACCAACATACGCAAGGTAATAGCTAAATCCAAAAAAGTAATAAAAGAAAAAAGGAAGTGTTTTTTTAAATGTGAGAGAGATCCATTGCTGATCTCTTTTAATTACTTTATTGATGTCTATGCAGTAGGATCGTTATTAATTTGTGTCTTCTATTAAGTTATAAACAGAGAGTTTACCTAGCTCTCTTAGTAAACACCAAGGAATTATGAAGATCCTGCTCTTTCACATCTGAAGGGGAAAAACCTTTTCCACTGGATGTGAAATTTTCCTTTGGATTTGGCTGCTGTGTAGACCAATTGTCTGTCTCCTACCTGACTGTTCAGCAGAGGTTCTTAACCTCTTTGGAGTCACAGACCCCTTTGGACATAGGAAGAAAGCTCTGAATCTTCTCCCCTGACTCATGTACATATCATAATCTTCTACACTCATTTTGTGTGGGGGGGGCGGTGCAGGGAGGCCTGTGACCTCCTGGAACTCATTCATTGGCTCTAGGTTAAGAACCATTTTTAAATAAGAAATTTCACAGTTTTATATAGAACAACTGCCAATCATGTAAAAGGAGACACTATTTTTCAAGCCTACTTTTAACAGTTGGGACAGTCATGTAGGATTAATGTTCTTGATACTGATGTGCTTATACAAGAGCTATTTACTAGGTCCCTGCCCTATGCTGGGGACCATATTAGAGGCTAGTGACAAGAATGAGACAACTAAAGTCCAGACCCTTGAGGATTTTGCAATCTAGTAGAGGATTTTCTCCCAGTCAAATCCAAAGAACCTCTGAAAAAAATGCCATTCTTCTAAATTTGATGCAGAGGAAATCTTAAAGTCTAAATCTGTAAAAATGTATAAGATTGTTACCCAAAAAGTGCTCTTTCCATACAAAAAAAAAAACTTCTCTAAAATATATCTTTAGTATTAGCCAATTGCATTTATGTATTTCATAGACTACTTGCTTTACTTGCTTTACAAAGAGCTGGAACTATTAAAGTCAAAACATTAAATAGCTTCCTTTTAATTTATTTATATGAAATATGAAATTTATATGAAATTTATTTATATGAAAATGAAAATAACATACCCTCTGAAATTTTTCAAAAGTAGTTAAAAATGTGATTCAGTATATGAAATATCAGTTCATATATAAATTAAAAAATAAATTTACTGGGACACATTTCGTGGGATTATAATTATCTTCCTACAAATTAAAGTTGAGTAATAATTCTCCCCTACCCTAACCCATCCCCTGTCCAATAGGATGACCTTGCGCAAGCAAATCTACTTTGGGTATTTTTTGTATCTTTCTATTGGACTGTACCTCACCCCAGCATGCTTGTGAAAAAGACCCATACTAAGTATGCCTTGAAGGAAAAGACAAATCAAACCTTTATAAGATTCAAAAAGTGACTTATCCTTAATAAATTACTAATGTACAAGAAAATATTGGATACATGGCTTCCTGCATCCAAATAGATTAGTAAGCACATATTCTCTTAAGCACCTTCAGTATTCTTCTCTCATGCCATTATTTGATAGGTAGGGAGGATAGGCAGTAGTAGGGGCAGACTGTCAACCTTCTTATGGGAGAAGGCCAGAATTATTGGTCACAATTATTATGGAACAGTCTGATGTTCCAAGTGTGGCTGATTCCTACTTGGTCAACCTCAGTACTTCCTGGTTAGGGCATTCTTTTGGGGCTAACCAATCCAGGAAATACGTGGTTAAGTGCATTGCTATTTTACTTTTATCTTTTGTAAAAGTGTTGAATGTTTCTTATAATTAACACTTATTGGAATTATGTTATAAATTACATGGTTTCAGTACTAATAGCATTCTCTTCTCACAGGCTATCCAGATTATGCTTGGCATCTTTCATGTTATCATGTGGTATTTCCTATTGATTTTGTATATGGGACAAATTAAAGGAGTATTTGGAAAATATGAACCTATAACTTACAAAACAGGATGTTCTTTATGGGGAATTATTGTGAGTAGAATACATTTATATGATTTAATCATTCAGTAAATAATGTTAATGCCGCTTGCAGAAAACAGGGAACAGTTTCTAAACAAAGTTTTCAGGAGAATTCTGTAACTAAATCCCATGTTGGTATTTTATTCAAAATCAAATTCTTTTTTTCAAGAAATATTTTTTGAGCACCTTTAATTTACCAGTGCTGTTACAACAGAGTGGATACAAGACTGAATACGCCACAACAACCATAGGTTAGATTCTCCTTAGATATGTGAAAGACCAAGAATCTTAGCATTGTTAATTTTCATATTTAGGGTCTTTACTTTAGCTTCCTCACACAACAAGTCTACACTCACACATTTTGTAAATATTCCATAATCTACACCCTTCTGTGGTTTCTAGACAGCCATAAGGTAGTAGGAAAATCTGGAGAGTGTGGCATCCTAGAAGCCAAGAGAACAAGGAAGTAGGGAAAGATCAACTATATTAAATTCTGTTATTTTGTCAAATAAGACAAGGGCTGAGAATTGAGCATTGGATTTAGCAATATGGATGCCAGCAGTAAACCTGACAAGTAGTTTCACTGGAATGGGGTGGGGTACAAAAACCTGATTAGAGTTGGTTTAAGAAATATAGAAGGATGTGCAACTATAACATACAACTATCTACTGGGGATTTGGGGGAAAAATAAATAAATAAATAAAAATTAAAAAAAAAAGAAATAAAGGGAGAAGAGGAATTAAGAGACAGCAAATACAGACAACTCCTTTAGGGACTTTGGTGTAATGTGGTATAGAGAAATGAGGTGGTAGCTAGGGGAAATTTGGGTCAAGAGAGAGGAAATTTTGTTTTAGTAAGTTGGAAGTATCACGTCTTGTTGAGGGGAGTGAACCAGAATAGAGAAAATTGATGATATGAGATAAATTGGGAAGAGAAAAATTATTAGAATCATGTACTTGTGTATGCAAGAGATGATGAATTTTAATACACAAATAGCTAGGAACATGGACAGTTCATCTCTAGCAGTGGTTCTCAGCTAGAGGTGATTTTGCCCCTCAGAGGACATTTGTTAATGTCTGGAGACATTTTTGGTTTTCACAGCTGGGGATGTGCATCTAGTAGACAGAGGCCAAGGATGCTGCTAAACATCCTACAATGCATAGGACAGCCCCCACAACAAAGGATTATCCACCTTTAATATAAATAGTGTCAAAGTAGGTAACAAGAGGGAAAGGCAGAGGAACAGAGAGAAAGGACAAATTTTGATAGGTAGGTAGATGGGATGTTGGGAGCTTGTGGAACTTTTCTCTGATGGCTTCAAATATCTTAGTGAATTAATAAGCATGGTTGAGCTGAGAGTGAGAATGCGAGGATGGATTGGTTGCTTGAGGAGAGAGGAGAGGATATAAAATAGTCATCTAGGAAAAGTGAGAGAGTGCAGGGATTGTGAAAAAGTTTGAGTTTCATGTAACATGAAGGGCTCACTTAAGTTTTAGGAACATGATTGTATAGTGAGATTGGTCAAGGTGGTCGTGTGTCCTTCTCAGGCCATGTTTGGCTGCATGGGTGCAGGCATGCAGTAAGCAAGAGAACTGCGTTTAATCAGGATTTTGGTTTAATCAGGATTTTGGTTTAATTATGCAACTGTGATCAAACAAAAAAGGTGCAAAGGAGTTGAGAGTGTATATAAGTGAGTGTTTGTAATAGTTGACCGTGGAATTTAAGATGATGATGGAAAGAATATAACAGGGAGGTGAGGGGCTCAGATTATAGATCTAGATGGGGGTCAAAGGATCGTTAGAGTTGTAATACTACAGGGCATGAGCTAGAAAGATAGAAGGTGGTGGTCAGAATGGCGTGCTTGAAACTGATATTTGACAAGTGTTACACTTACTGGCAGAAACAAGGACAAGAGAATGAATATGGGAGTGAGTGACTGGGATAGGATGGAGTCAAAGGATTGGAGGTGAGAAATTCAAAGAACCACAAGTCCAGGGTATTAGAAGGATCATAGAAGTGTATATACTGAAATTACCAAGACTTAAAGAGACGTTAGAGAGAGAGTTAGAGAGACAAGAATTAAAATCACCTAGAAAGAGAAGAGGACCAAGGGGTCAATAGATGACATCAACCAAGAGGGATAGTGGGTTGTAGAATCCAATAACATTTGATTCAGAGCTGGAGGAGAGAGCATGGTTGGAAGTAACAGTAAGGAACAAGGAGACCACTTACCCCATGCTTAGAACCAATGGTATAAGGACTGTAGGAGATAAGATGGCCACCGCTTGATAGGGCTATAGAGGAAGCAGTGGCCTCTAGGAGATTCCCTGCCTTTATACATTGGCTAATAAGTGTCAAAGTATTGCCTTGGAAAACAATAGGAGAAAAATAGTGAATTGGCAGACAAAATCCAGGTAAATGATTCATGTCCCTCAGTGTTTAATTGTTCATGTTATAAAAATAGCGTGTTTAGCTCCTAGAATAAATTATCTACAATTTCAATTAAGTTTAATCTAATGCAAAACTTCTCATTTAGATCATAAACTTTGAAAAGCATTTTGTAAAGCGCATGGTTTGGTAATCTAGTTAGAGAGAACTCTAGTTTAAAATTCACAAGATATTTTCGCTTTATATGCTGAACTAGTTCTTACCTTCACTGTGTACCTCCTTCGAAATCTCAGCCTTTGTTACAGAATGAAGTGCTGAGTGTGTAAATTTAAGTTATCCTTGAGGAGTTAGTAAGCTTCAAGTTTGGCCTTTCTATATATCGTATATAGCATGAATGCTATTTCTCCACAAATTAGCCTTTGACTTGGATCTTTGTCAAAGCCACTAAAACAGATAAGACAAAAGGAATATTTCAAGGGAATTGTTCAGTCCACCTTCAAACAATATGGCATAGCTTTACGCTTCTGGGAAATAGACAAAGCAGCCTAGTATAAAATAATGGAAACTATTTTTAAAAAACAAAGGCAAAAACATAAATAGCAGCTATTACCTTAATAATGGCTACAGTCTCAGTTAAGAGAGATATTTTGTAAAAATACAATTTGGAATAGACTCATGGACCACTTTTTTCACATCTGGATATGTACACAGTAATTACACTCAGTGGCATCTTCTCATTAGGAAGGATAGCATTAGAAGTAATAATCGAATAATTTCAGAAAGCATGCGCAGATATACAAACTTGGTCCCTGATTCAGGACTGCTTAAGTCATCTTTGGCATATACCACAACCTGAATTCTGCCCACTGTCCCCTATATATTTCTGTTGTTAGTGACCCTACTATTGCCTTTCAGTTCATTACTATATGATGGAAACTTGTCCTGACCCCTTCTACTAAAACTTGTTTATATTTTGTTACTCTTAGTATTCTAAAAATAATTGTCTTAGAAGAGGGAGTTGTTAAAAATACATTTTAAGGTGATGAGCCTTATCAATGAGTATTTATAAATATATGTTTTTATATCCAGTTTATCATTGCAGGAGTCTCCATAATAAGAGCAGCATGGCATCCAAATCAAGGCCCGGTAAGTTGAAATGTTTAGGGTATCCTAGAAATCACTTGTCACAAAGCTAAATAGGTTTTAACGAGACAATAGTGGGTGGCTAAACAATGAAGGAATCTACCCTACATAAAATAAATAAAGGAATTTAAGTGAAAATCCAGCAGTACATAATTTAATGTAGACAAACATGCCATATTAGTTAGAATCATGATTGTGTAAAGGTTTCTAAATCTAAATATAATTTTTTTTAGTTGGTATTCTACCTTCTTTAAACATTGTGTGAACTTTACTATTAGAAAAAATTTAATAGGACCTAATGCCTTTCTATAGAAATGTAACACTGTAAAACTTCATTTTTCTAACTATCCAGTTTGGGAACAGGATTGTATCTTGTAACAAAATAGAGGATCTGTCCAGAATAAAGATCCGTCTATGGTATAGGTGGAAAGATTGGGAAGAAAAAAATCCTAGAATCTTAGAGCTAAAAGATATCTTAGAAATTAAGGTATCTGATCTCATAATTGTACAGATAAAAAACTGATATCCAAAGATACTGATGGATTTCCCTAGAGAATGAAAACCCAGGATTAAAAATCATTGAATCCTATTTGGCTTATTTCTACAGGTAGTCATTTTCCATCTTTTTTTTTCTTTTTTCTTTTTACGGTGGAACTCCTTTCGTTCACTTCATATCTTAAAAGTCTTTCTTCCAACTGACCCAGAAGATTGTAAAATACAATATTTTTAAACCCAAATGGAAGATGGATGTTTATTGATGTGATGATATTTCAGTGTTTCCTCCAGGTTAACTGAGTTTCATGCAAACCAGAAAAAATATTTTACTCTAATGGCAAGCATACCAACACTTCTAAAGCTTCAGAAACTAGATCAAAATGTTACCTAGATGATTTTTTTTTTCAGCAGTACAAACTGTTTAACCAAAGTGTTTATTCTGAATATAACAAATTTACCCTCTGTCTTCTTTTCAGGTTACATGTGCTTTGGTCATGAACATCTTCTGCATAATTACTGCAGTTATTGCAGCAGCTCTAACAATAGTGGAGTTGTCTAAGTTTGATTCTGTGTCCTATAGGAATTACGGACAAGCGGTAAGTGACCAATTCTATAGGAACATCTTAATTTCAAAATTATTCTTTTCAGAGGTTTTGAAGCCTTAGGAGGTAAAATAAGGCCTTTATTGGTCCTCACGAAGTTCTTTGATTTAGTAAGCTCGTGATTGAAAGTTTTAATTCAAAAATAATTCTAATGTGATTTTTTTGTAAATATTAAAAGGATGTTTGAAATCTTCACATGCCCAATTAAAATAAAGCAAGTAAAAACTTTGAAGGCTTCAGTGATGATTGCATATGCATTAGGCTAGGGGTCACTGATGATTCTGTTAATGAAAGAAAAGTATAATCCTAGAAACCATTCCCAAAATCAACAAAAGAATTCTGCTATTAATGCATATAGTCAGAATTGTAGACACCTAGTAATTTCTGGTTTAACAGAGCTTTTCATACACAGCCTATTTTTGTGTCTCACATGAATTTTGCTTTAAGTCCACAGATGCTAAATATACATGAATCTGTCTTGCTTTCATTTAATTGAATATCTAATCACACACTTTGTACCACAGAAATAACTGTATTTCTTCTTAAGATAGTAACATTCTCCAGTAAATGTGAGTATTTTTACTAATACCACAATAGATTTATTTCAATTGTTTTGGCTTTAAATTCAGAATACAGAATATTAGTGCTGCAGAAGACTTTAGCAATACTTACAAAAATCATCCATTTAAAATGAGAACAGATTAGAGTGGAGATCCTCTTTGTTATTGAACAACAAAGCAAAACAAGTAATAATTTGAAAGTTTTAACTCAAAAATAATGCTAATGAGTAGGAGAGTCTTTGTAGGTGAGGGATAAACTTCCTGCTTCTTCCCTATACACCCCCTCTCCCTACCTGCAGTATATTATATTATATTATATTATACAGTATTATAAAGGGGACCATCAGTGGAAGAAATCCAAGCATGGAGAACAGAAGCCTAAAGGACAATGAGATGGTGAGAGAAGATGCAATAATACCCCAAAATAGATTGTGTGTAATGAATGATGTATTGATTTAAACAAGCATGCACCAGATTTTCCCTGTAAATTATAAAATTCTCCATTTGCCCTGAAAATTCAATCTAGAAATCTTCAATTCTAATTTTGGGGGCAGAGATAGGGAGGGGGGAATTAAGTTATTAACTGTAGAATTATTTCAGGTTATTTTAGCTTACCACTTGTATTCATAAGCTTATAATCATCAGTTTAAGATAATATGACATAATTTCCAAGACCCACCTTTTGCAAACAATATTACAAACCATTGTAGACTATTTATTTGGCCTGAACTCAGTATTAATGATCAGTTTCACAGTCTCCAAACACACAAATTTCAGCTTTGTTTGCTGTGATTAGTTACACAAAATGAACCTGTATTATTAGACCCACATCTCTAACCGACCGTCTTTTCCTAGAGGCATTGTAGAATTATAGACCTACATTTACTATATTTACCTATTTACTACATTTACAAGATTTAATTTACTACATTTAATTTAATTTAATTTACTACAATTACAAGATTTTCCATATGCCAACTTTTCTAACATAAGTAATTGGCTTGGCTAAATCCACAAACTCATCAAATTATCAGTGTTCCCAGGCAGGTTCAGCTATCCCCAAAAGTGTCTGCTTCTGAACTGTACTCCTCATATAGCAAAATGGTTAATAGTATAAATCCAGAACCAGACTGTCTTTATTCAAACACTATCTTCAGTACTCACTAACTGTGTGTGACCCCTTGGACAATTCTTTAACTTCCCTGTTTCTTAATGTGTAAATGGGGAAAATGCTAACACATACCTATTAGTTAACTGCTTTGTCTGGCTCCCACACTCCAAGCCTATTGTTCTAATGGCCAGCTTGACTTTTCTACTTGGATATGCTTCTATCATCGTCTCAAACTCCACAGATATAAAACGGAAAATATTTACCTCCTCAAAAGTACTGTACTGCAAGACTCCCTTATTTCAATCTCCTAGGCTCAAAACCTTGATGTAATCTTTCCCCCTTCTCTTTCCACTGTCTTCCCAATTACCAAAAATTGTTTATTATTTACTTAGATTTTTTGTGTGTGTGTGAGGAAGATCAGCCCTGAGCTAACATCCATGCCAATCCTCCTCTTTTTGCTGAGGAAGACTGGCCTTGGGCTAACATCTGTGCCCATCTTCCTCCACTTTATTTGGGACACCACCACAGCACGGCTTGACAAACGGTGCCTCAGTGTGTGCCCGGGATCCAAACCCGGGCCGCCAGAAGTGGAGCACGCACACTTAACTGCTATGCCACCAGGCCAGACCCTACTTAGATTTTTATTAATTACAGCTCTCTTGGTTGTAAGTGACAGGAAATACAACCCAAATTGACTTAAACCAAAAAAGGGCACTTACTGACTTCAGCTGGATTCAGAGGTTTAAGTCATGTGTCGAGAACTCAGTCACTCTCTCTGTTGTTTTCCTATTTGAACTTCTCTGGCAGCTATCTTGCCACTTTCGGGGGAGAGTTTGTCTGAGAATAACACTAACACATATAAATTAAGGAATGTGGGCAAAATGACTTTTTATAGTCTTTCCAGCTAAGAGGTCACAAGTACTTTCCAGCCAAAATGCTATGATTGTGTTTCTGCCAACAAAATCAAATCAGAATTCTTTACCTTGCCATTTCCAACCCTGTAGTCTTTTCTTTGTCCTCCTGTTAATACCATACATGAATAAACACTATACCTGAGTAAAACTTGTTTATCATCTTCTCAGAACATGTTATATTCATTCTTGCATTCAGTTTTTTGCTCACATTATCAAACCATAGGTCATGTGATATGTATTTTTAGCTTTATTATTTGTTCTATTTTACATCACTATTTCCTAATTATTTTGTCATACTTTTCATTTATGCTATTAAATTCTTTCTGGAACAAGATAGATTACAAAGAAAAAGTAAATAAAAATTTAAAACTGCCTATAAAGTTGCTTACCCCCTTCATTTTTCTCACTCCTACTCTTATTTCAAAAGTCCTACCTCTTTTGGAGCCTTCCTAGATATGAATGGCTTAGGGTGAAACTCCTGTCCCCTTTAATTATTGAGCAAGTTTTTATTCATTTTGACATGTTCAACCTTATGGTACATTACCTTATATTATCTTTCTGTCTTTTCTACTTGAATGTAAACTTTGAGAAAGCAGGAATTTTTTTGTCATTTCATTCTTACCATCTAATCCCTACCAACTAATAGTGTCTTGCTTTTACAAAATATTAAATAACCCAAAAAAAAAGGAGAAGAAGGAAGAGAAGAAATTGAAGGAGAGAGAATTATAATGTTATTCTTTCTAGGTCTGAATATCATTCTTGTCTTTCCACAGCCTGCACAAAAACTACATTTATTTCAGAATTATTACCAGTATCATTCATCCTGATATATAGTTGAAAATATCTTTCCGATAGTAACAAAAGGGGTCTGCTTTATTTATCCCAGAAATCACAATCACCTTATACTCCCAAGTGAAATGCTCTTTGAACTCTTTTTGAATTTACTCATCCTTCCATATGATATTACAGCAATTTCTATGTGAGATTTTCATCACTACACATGTAAATTTGAGTAAGTTTGTAATTAATAATAGCTGTTTTAATACATGACGATTGCTTGATAAAATCTCTTGGTAGCCATTCTTATCATTGGAGACGGAAGGGTCAAATCTTATTGATTGGAGAGTTTGGGTAGCGAGCTGTGCCAGGGACTCTGTGCTGAAGAGAATTATGAGAATAAGAGTTGTGAGAAGTGAGGCAAGAATGCTGAGTGATGAAGATCAAGAATGGAAGTTGTAGACAGTGAATTGGGGGAATGAAAGCTAGGAAAAGTTGAACAGAAGGCAAAGGAGTAGAAATGCCTGGGGAAATCAACTGGTGAAGGAGGCTTACTTATCCTTCCTATTTTTCTTCTTTTCTTTGACTGTTATATTGGGAGCTCCTTCCATGAACATATTTGCACTTAATTGAGATAGTAATGCAGGATTTCTGCCTATTTTCTGGTTTCAGAAACTCGGGAGGGAAGTTTCACGTATCTTACTGTCCACCTACCCCTTGGAATTTGCTATTGCACTTACATACTCCATCTATGGCTGTATTGGTTTGGTAAGTGTTTATCTACTATCTGGCAAATCAAGAGATGTTGATTTCTAGTAAGAACACTATAAGGAGTTGAAGTGCACTGATACAATTTGTTTAGAACTAATAAAAATGGAATATGTGATCATATTTCCTTTACTTTTTAATTTTTTCATTTTTATTGTTTTTTTAATAAAATTACAAAGGTAATACATGAAACCGTATAGTAAAAAGTTAAAAAATTATAAAGTTAGTGTCCTCTTAATGTATTCCTCATCATACCCACACATCTAAATCTACACTAAAAGACACAAACACACACACACACAGTTTTCCTTTTTACTAATTGTGTGATCATATTGTTGTGTCACATGTATTTTTCTCAACCATTATAAACATCTCCTCATTATAAAACATATCTAAACAGTGCCTTTAAATAGCTTCATACTTTTCCTTAGTATTTATCAGTCCTTTATTGCTGCATATTTAGTTTTTTTTCTAATTGTTGTAAAATTATAAACAATGATGTAGTGAACATCCCAATACATATATCTTTGCATACAAGACTAGTATTCCTGTAGGTAGTTGATTCTTAGAAGTGTAATTGCAAGTTTAATAACATCCCAAAATGCTATAATAATTCACAATACTACAAAAGTTTATGAGACTGTTCATTTTCTCACAATCTTAAAAAAACTAGATATCTAACATTCATTTGTTCTTTTACAAATATTTATGGAGGGATTATTATTTACTATGCATTGTAATAGGCACTAAGGATGCAACGATTAACAAGACAACATCCCTACCATCGGGGAGCTTGCATTTTAGTGGGAGAGAAAGACAATAAACAAAGACGCACACACACACATATATATAATTTCAAGAAGTGGAAAAATGTTCTGGAGTAAAATAGAGTAAGGAGATAAGGCAAAGATTATTTTACATAGGATGGTAAGGGAAGATCACTGAGCAAGGACTAACTGAAGTGCAGAAGTAACTACTAGACTGCATGGAAAAAGAGTTTTCCAAGAATAGGGAATGGGTGGGGCTTCCAGAATGGCTGAGTGAGGATATGGCAAATCTCCCTAAAATGAAATGATAAAACTGGACAAAATTGTCAATAAACCTTTTAAAGATTCTGGAAATTTACCAAAGCATACAACAAATTGAAAAGTGTTTCTTTTAGAAAATTTCCTGAACTTCAGTAAGAATAGTGGATGCTTGTGACATTTTAGCTTGAGGCTGCTCCAGTGCCTCCCATCCCCTCCTCTCCTCTGGTGCCATTTTGCAGAAGTTTACTTGGGCAGGTCTGACTGTGAGGACTAGTAGCCTCACTGCTGGAGAGGGCTGATTTTATTTGGAGCAGAGCACAGAAAGTTCTATGACCAGGGGTGTTATTAAAACAATAGCATATTACTTTGCTAGGGCTACCATAACAACCTACAAGAGACTGGATGGTTTAAATAGCAGAAATTTATTTTCTCACAATTCTGGAAGCTAAAAGTCCAAGATCAAGGTGTTGGCAGTGTTGGTTTCTTCTGAGGCCTCTTGCCTTGGCTTTCTGGTGGCCGTCTTCTCCCTATGTCTTCACATGGTCTTCCCTCTGAGTGTGTCTGTGTCATAATCTCCTCTTCTTATAAGGACACCCATCGTACTGGATTAAGGCTCACCCTAATGACTTCATTATAACTTCATTACTGCTTTAAAGACATTATCTCCAAATACAGTCACATTCTGAGGCACTAGGGGTTAGGACTTTAACATATGAACATTAGGGGGACATAATTCAGCTCATAACAAGATGTTTAAGCTAACCAATCATTGACTGACCACTTATGCTGACCGGGAGAAGAACCCTAGGAAACCAGTATTAAAAGTAAAAAATGGAAAAAGTAAGTAGATCTATCAGATGCCACACCTTGCAAGGGACACAGACTCCACAAAATTAGTACAGGCAAGTCACAAAAGACAGCAATAACAGACACTCCTGGGAGAAGATGAGGCAATCAGAATCCAAAGTCACTACAATATATTATCTGAAATATCCATTTTTCAACAGCAACAAAATATAACATACAAAAAACAGGAAATAGTGACCCATACATCTGAAAAAAGCAGTCAATAGATATAGTCTGCTGGAAGGAGGGGAAAACAAATGTTGGACTTCACAAAGAAAGACTTCAAAGTACTAAAGGAAAATAAGTTTAAAGAATTAATGGATGCTAATAATAACTTATCAAATAAGAGTATCAATGTCTGATACCTTCGTTGTGGTTATGGTATCATGGTGTTTGCATATGTCTAAATTCGTCAAATTGTACACATTAAATATGTGCAATTCTTTGTATATCGAGTATACCTCAGTAATGCTGTTAAATTTTTTTAAATAATAATATCAATAAAAGAAATAGAAATTATTAAAAAGAACCAAATGGAAATTCTGGAGTTTAAAAATACAGTTACTAAAATGAAAAACTCAGTAGAGGGACTCAAAAGCAGATTGGAGCTGAAGACATGGTGGCAGAAAATCAGCAAATATGATAGACCAAGATAAACCATCCAGTCTGAAAGAACAGAAAAAAAAAAGAAGAAAATGAACAGAGTCTCAGAGATCTTTGAGGCACGATCTAGTGCAGCAATATATGCATATGAAAATCCCAGAAAATGAGAGAACGGGAAAAAAGACTTGAAGAAATAATGGTCAAAAATTTCCCAAATTTGATGAAAAATATTATTCTATACATCTAAGAAGCTCAATGATCTTCAATTAGCATAAACACAAAGAGATCCACTCTTAGACACCTCAGGGCCAAATGAATAAAAAAAAGAAAATCTTGAAAGCAGCAAGGGAAAAATGACTCTTCATGTACAGTGTAACCACGATAAGATTAACAGTTGACTTCTCATCAGAAATAATGGAGGCCTGAAGGTAGTGAGATGACATATTAAGGTGTTGGAGAAAAAAACAGTCAAGCATGAATTCTATAGTTTTTAAAATTATCCTTCAAAATTGAAGGTGAAATAAAGACTTACGCAGATGAACAAAGACAGAGAATGTGTGTCTATCAGAACTGCCTTACAAGAAACACTAAAGGAAATTCTTTAGACTGAAAGAAAGTGATATCAGATGAAACTCAAATACACATGAAGAAATAAAGAGCATTGGTAAAGGTAATTTGGTAGATGACTATGAAAAACAGTATAAATAAATCTTTTCTGCTTTCTTCTCTGAAAGGATTTAAAAGACAATTGCATAAATTACACTGGGCCCACCCAGATAATCCAAGATAATGTCCTTATTTTAAGGTCATGTTATTATCAACCTTAATTCCATCTGTCAAACTACTCAACTCATGAACGCAGTCATTGACAATACATAAATGAATGGATATGGTTTTGTTCCTATAAAACTTTATAAAGCAGAGAGTAGGCTAGATTTGGCCCATATGCCATAGTTTGCCAACTCCTATTCTATAGATATATATTTTCTCCTTTTTTCTCTGAAATTTTAAAAGATAAGATTACAAAGCAATAATTATAACACTATATGTTTGTGTATATAACATATATATGTGTAATATTTATGACTAATAGCACAAAGGAAGGGGAAAGGAATAGAGCTACATGAGAACAAAGTTTCCACGTTTTACTGTAATTAAATTAGCGTTCAGCTAAAGCAGATCGTGATAAATTGAGATGCACGTTGTAATCCCCAGACAAATGACTAAGAAAACTAAAAAAATGTAGTAAAATCAATGAAGAAATTAAGATCATACACAGAAAGTATTTAATTAAAAAAAAACAGGTAAAGGAGGAACATAAAAGACATGAGACATATAGAAAACAAATAGCAAGGTGTTAGACATATATCCAACCATTTCAATCATAACATTAAAATAAAACTACAATAAGATATTGAATACCTAATAAAATGACTAAAATTCAAAATACTGACAATCCTAGGTGATGGTAATGACTACGGATAAAAGAAGTCTTTTAACACTGCTAGTTGGAATATAAATTACTGCAGCAACTTTGAAAACCTTTTGGGAATTATTTATTGAAAGTAAAGATATGCATACCCTATCAGTAATTTCAGTCTTTAGTATATACCCAACAGAAATGTGTGCACATATGTACCAAGATATACTTCCAGGGAAATATACATGTCAGTGTTATTCATAATAGTCCCAAAGTGGAAACAATGCAAATGGATGAGTGGTGAATATATTGAAGTATATTACTCTAATAAAATTTTACCTAGTAATTAAAAGGAACTATACCTACACTTAACAACATGGATGAATCTCATATACATAAGGTTGAGTATAGAAAGGCAGACTCAAAAGAATGCATACTTTATAATTCCATTCATATGAAGTTTGAAACCAGGTCAAACTAAAGCTAAACTATAGTGTTTAGGGAAGAATGACAGCTAGTTAGTAAAACTAGAAAGATAAGAAGGGATTGATTACCTAAAAGTCAAAATGACAGTTACTTTTGGAGGGAAGGAATAGGTAAGAATTGGAAAATGTCATGACAAAGTGACTTCTGGGGTACTGGCTGGCATCTGTTCATGTTCAAGGAGACCATGGATATTTTTATTATAAAAGTCTGGAAGTATACTTTAAGTTAAAAGTGGTCTAACAGGAATTAAGAGAGTGGGTTGAGGTAGAGTTGGGACAGAAAGCGGAAAAAATGGCACTTAAACATTTTATTCTATAAACATCAATATTGCTTACATTTTTAAAAACTAAGTATTTATTACATGTATGATTTTAGGAAACATGATATGATTTATAAGAGGTTAATTTATTTTTCAGAGTCGTGGTAATGAAGATACTCTTTCAACTGTTACAGAAGAAGCTGAGACCACTTTTTAAAAACCTTAGAAATGTGATATTTTTCCTGGTGCTCATACCTGATGTGGGCACTAATGATATTTCTGTATAACAAAGCTGCTACAAAGCCCACAGATTTTGTGCAAAAGAAAACACAAATTGGTTTTTCCTTCTCAGTATTCAAGAAATTTCTCTGCACATAGTTTTGTAGGCTCCAAGGAAAGATTTTCCCTACTTAAATATGACATTACTACAAGGAAGAATTTGTGTTCTGGGTACTCTGAATAGCTGTCAATTCTCCCTAATGGAGCTTTTGTAAGAGACCATAAAAAAGATTTGTGATTGTCTCTAGAGTTCAGGCTATAAAGACTTGGAGCATAATATTGTATAATTCTCAGGAAAAGGTTAAATAATTTATGCCCCTACAAGTAAAGAATACATTTCAGTCTGAGTTCTTCTACCTGAGCTGGATTCTACCTGAACAAAGTATGAGTCAAAAGGCATCTGACTCATAGTCCCTTCATTGTTCTTCTTTGACTGCTCCTCTCCTCATTAAAGTTCCTCTCTGCCCTGAAAGTCTCTGCTGTTTTTCTTCCCTTTCATTCCCCTTGCTTCTTATTTCTTATCATTGTTTGGGTCATCCTATCCGTTGCTTTTTAGAGCCAGCAGGCTGCTTTTCCACAATAAGGAGAATTTCCCATGGATCTGTTCTGAATTCAGATTCACCCTATCTTCTAATATGGAACAGACCTTCAGAAAGCCTTGCTCAGCAATATTAATCATGCCAGTGATTACATGGAGCTCTCTTTTAAATGTGCTGCTGTTTTTTATTTTCTGCCTTGTCTCTCAAGAGGTTTCATCAATTGTTATCTAATACTATAAATTAAGATTTCATGGTTCTAAGAATTTCAGTGCTTAGCTCATATCTGTCAGTTCAATACATATTAATTGTCTGCTATGTGCTAATGAATATATTTAACTCTGGAGTATCAAAGATTAATAAGGTACCTTACCACAAAGAATTTTTATTTTAGAGGAGGAAACAAACAGGTAACAAATCAAGACTATGCAGTGTTACAAATGTATTAACAGAAGTATGAAAAAATTGAAATAGTGCAGAAAAGATGATGATCCTTCTGTTGCGAAATAAGAGGGAATAAAGCTTTATGAAGGATATGGCCTCTGAGCAGGGGATTAATCATAGTTTACCAAGCAGATTGAAGGGTGGAAAGACATTTCAAATAGAAGGGTTACCTCATGCAAAAACAGAAATGTGAAAAAGATCAAAGTATATTCCAGTAGCTAAAATGAATAAATATCACTAAAACATAATGACAGGGAGGAGTAGGTCAAGAGTGAAAGTTGGAGAAGTAGAAAGAGGCCAGATGATAAAGAAGTCAAATCATCAAAGATTGGTGACTAAAGTATTGAACTTGCAGACAGTGGGAAGCCATTGAAAAGTTTTTAAGTAGGGAACTTTTACCTACTTAGTTAAAAATATTAAATAGGTACTAATATCTAATTAAATAGATTTTAAGGTATTAAATAGGTATTAAATAAAAAATAAATTAGATAAAAAGCATTAAATAGGGAGAAATGCTTTAGAAAGGATAAATTTGATAAGAACAACTAGAATGTGGGAGAGAGTAATGGATAAGTAGTGCAATGATTCAGACAAGCAATGACAAAGAGAGGGTAATTTTTAACTTTGTTGACTGATTAAACATAAGGTATGAAGGGAAAAAAGAACCTGAAATAACCCTTTGTTCTGGATTGGGTGACACCTGCAGTGATACAGAATGTAGAAGACAGCAGGATTGGATAAATTGACAAATTCTGTTTTAGATAAGTTGAGTTTGAGATAACTATGAGACATTAAAGTAGAGATGTCTAGGGGACGGCCTGGCCGCAAGCGGTTAAGTGCGCGCGCTCTGCTGCAGCAGCCCGGGGTTCACCGGTTCGGATCCTGGTTGTGCACTGATGCACCACTTGGCAAGCCATGCTGTGGCGGCGTCCCATATAAAGTGGAGGAAGATGGGCATGGATGTTAGCCCAGGGCCAGTCTTCCTCAGCAAAAACAGGAGGATTGGCAGATGTTAGCTCAGGGCTGATCTTCTTCACAAAAAAAAAAAAATTAAATAAAGTAGAGATGTCTAATCAGCAGTTGAAAATACATCTCTGGAGGTTGGAGAAAGTTTAGCTATGTAGAGAGAGGTTGATTTTGATGGTAATTAAAAATATGGAAATGGAGGGTTTTCCATTGCCAGCAATTAAGGACTAGATGCTTGCAGCCCAAGCTTCCTACAAAAAATGCAACAAAACCAAGCCACAATTTTAAAACATCATCTGTTTGAAGGTATTGGAGATATGGGATTTAAGGGAGCTGGATTTAAAGAGCCAAGATTCCAGAGTGGAAACTAAGAGACGATCCAGGCTTTTGGATCCCCCAGATGCACTTTCTGAGTCACAGACAGCAGGTGAGAGGTTAAGAAGCTGAGAAGAACTTCCCGTATTCTTGTAGGGTTGTGAAGACAATAATTGGAGCTCAGGCTCACCAAAGGGTGAGAAGCTCATAAACACCCAGGGCTTTCTATTGTGATCCCTAGAAGGGCTATATCTTAACAGTAAAGGTGAGCAAAAATGGGTCATCCCTCTCAAAGACTGATGCTCAGACCCAAATCAGCTCACTTACAGATTGCATCAAAGTAAGCTTCCCCAAATCTAACATTCTACCAAAGCAAAGACAAATCATTTGAAGAGGAAGATAACATTATCCAGAGCACCAAATCATCACTTCAATTTTTCATACGCAATGTCTAGGATTCAATCAAAGTAAAACAAGAATTAACTGAAATTCAACAAAAAACACAGGCCCACAATGGATTCAAATAACAGAATTATAAAATCTTAAATGACAAGATTTCAGCAGAAAAATGAAAATTATAAAAATGAATCACGTGGAAATGAGAATAACATAATAATTGAAATTAAAATCTAAATATATGAGTGTAACAGCGATTAGACGTAACTGACAAGAAAATCAATGAGCTGAAAGAAAGAGCAGGAGGAAAAATCAGACTGAAGCATTGACAAAATGATAGAAAATGCAATGCGGGATGTGGAGAGAGTAAGAGACAGATGGTACTGGTAAAAAGTTTCAATATCCTGTATTCAGAATTTCAGAGAGTAGAAATAAAAGCAAATAAGTAATATCTGAAAATATTACATCGAAAATGTTCCCAGGTTAATTAAAAAAAATGACAAATCATTGATTCAAGGAAGGTTACAATCCTAAACTAAGTAAATACAAAGAAATCCACATCTAAGTACATCATAGTAAAACTGCATAAAACCAGCCATAAAGAGAAAAGTCTTAAAAGTAGACAAGGAGAAAAGACATTTTACCTTCAAAAAACAGCAATAAAAAGAATGGCGGGGAGAGGAGTCAAGATGGCGGCATAAGCAGACTCGGAACTCACCTCCTCCCGTGGACACAGCCAATTTACGACTACTCGTGGAAAAATTACCCCTGAGACAGAACTGAAAACTGGATGAGAGGAACTCCTGCAACAATGGACAATCCTAACTGAGGTGGAAGAGGCA